CGAGTAAATGCGGCTGCCCCACCGAAAACGGACCGGCTTTTTAATTGTCTCGCGATCGAGGCTCGAATTTCGGTTTTCGGTTCTCAGATTTTGGGATTTCGGAAGGTGTGCCAGGTGCAGAGCCTGTTTCCCACTCCTCGCCGCGGGATCTCATCTCGAGCTGTCCAAATAAACACGCACACACTTTGTAAGAGTCGACGGCGGGCAAATAAATATTTGTAATTTATATGTTTTGCCGGCCGCGTGGGCAACACACCGCAGATACAACAAACAAAAGTCGGGTGTGCGAGAATGTGTTTTTGGAACGCATAAGGCTGAGTGGCACCTCGAATGCGCTTTATCAAGGCTTAAGTCAGGAAATTGGCAAAACGGGTTTCGGAATACAGAAGTTGCTTAATTTACGGCAAACATTTCAAAAAAATTCCTTAATTTGTCAACTAATTACGGCCCTGTGCTGCGATGCATAACAAATTGCTTAATGTTTGCACATTGCACATTGCTCATACGCAGTGTGCGCCCCCAGAGAAATATTGGCTTGTCTACGCTTTTATATCGCACGCCACTCGCAAAAGTGTGCCAAATAAATCAAAAGCAAACCCATTAAACCGTGTATTAAATTAAACCCGAGTAAACAAACAAAACGGGCTTTAATCGAATGACAAAACCCCAATGCAATGGCCAGGTTACAACTTTAATGGCCAGTAAAAATCTCTACGACGCTTTCGAGACGAGTGCAGTTTGCACCGCTTGAGTCATCTATAGTATAATCCCACGATCCCAAATAAACATAAGTCGAAGTTGCACAACATATATATTTGTGCATATATATGAGTGCGATTATTTAAACTAATCTTTTCGATCGTTTTAGGGTCGGTGGGAGGTCGCTTGGCCGACTTTTTTTCACCTGATTTTTTTGCGCGAATTTTATGGAACGCAAGCTAAACAAAGTTGAATATTTTATAGTTTTGAAACGATCGAAATGGTTGGGTGTTTGCATATATCTTTCGATTTCAAGGTTAGACTCGTGGCAATTAACTTGGCCGGCGGGGGCCGGGCATCTTTGCCAAACGCCATGTGCTCCTCGGATAAAAAAAATGGCAAAAAAAAAGTAAAAAATGGGAGGCCGGTGGCAATAAACAAACAGTCTGCTGCCCTGCCCTCCAGTTTCATAGATCTGGATGCTCTTGAGACGGCCAACACATGGCGAAATCGGGCGTTGTCCAGCCAGCCAGTCAGGCGACCAAAAGCCAAAAGCCAGACGGCTGCTCGTCAGGCCAAATGGAAGCCAATTCCAATTCCAATTCCAAAGCCAAATCGAAAGCCATATCGAAAGCCGGTCGACTTGTCGATTCTGTCTAATGCATTTTGTAGCCCATTTTCAATTAAATTTTTGCACATTTTCGTTTCGGCCAAGGTTAATTGATCGAATTCGCGATGATGGCTTTCAATTGTGAATTTCGAAGTTGTAAATGCACTTCAACCAAATGCTGATTTTAATTTAGATAGATATATAGCTATATACATTATACGATGCATTTTCCATGAACTATTAAGAATCGTCTGTGCTGTCATAGACGGAATTAACTTGGCGCGTGTGGGAATCACCGGATGACCAGAGTTTACCATTAAAAACGGTGGACTCAGAGCGATTTTCCTGGGAAACACACAGAAGATGAGTTTTTATGGCCCTGTTTTTCGCCGGCTGTTTACCATGGCTTTTTGTTTTTCTTATTGTTTTTGTTTTTGTTTTTGTTATGTTTTGCCATTTGCTGTTTTGCGAATTTCAAGGGCCACGCGGCATCGTGCTTCCCCTTGTCAATTCACGAAAGGAATATGGGGGAAAAACATTTCCACGAAAAATGTTCAGCTCTGCACATTGGCAAATATTTACAAATACTTTCGCCGGTCCTGACCAAACTAATTCAACGTAATTCCTGTGTTTTCAAATAATTGCTTGGCTGCATTTCTTTCTCGGAATATTTGCAATTGTTTAGCTGCCAATATCAATTTAATTTTGTACGGGAATATTTAGGGGAATATTTTGGTGGTTATTCATACCCCATTTCATGTTAGTTGGACTTCAGTTTTGTGTTTACTCCTTTAACTTGGAGAATACCCTGTGCTTCCAGCAATTACCTATTCATACTAAAGTGTTTTCGATTTTGTTTGTGGCAGTCACGCATCGCGCATGCATAACGGCCAAAAAAAAAAAGGCGCACGCCCATAAAGTATACAAGTTTATTTATCATTCGCCAGCAGGCACTGTAAACACACGCGCCCCAAATTCTACAAAGTGGAAAAGTTTCGGTAATACATAGTTAGAATACCACAATGCATGTTGCGAATTGCATTTAAGATCAAAATGGAATGAATATAATTACGAAATTGTGAGAGCAGAGCGAAATTGAAATGAAAATCGATCGACGGATGCTGCGAAGCTTTTATAACCTGTGATTTATGCCAAATATGCGGCTGAAAATGTGATAATTTGCAGTTGTGGCTAATTTTTCGTTGCCATTTGCGGTCTACGCTGCGCATGCGCAACTACCAATTAAATCGCGCATACGACGCGTTGGCCAAAAGCGGCACAGGGCGCCAGTTCGCTTGGCCAGCACTGCAATTAAGTCATTAAATACAAATTAACAGCAAACAATTGCTGGCTGGCAACGAACTCGGGCACCGAGCAACATCGATAGCTGTGTAATTAAGTATACGCCGCGTTGTCTGGCGAGACGAGCCACGCATTTGTCGGCCAACAGCCAACACCTTCCATCTCCATCCAAGGTGATTTACACGAGGGTCCGGAGCTGCGGCCTTCACGGGGACAGCAGTCTGCGACGAGGCAACACTCTTTGCAGACTGTGTGTCTGTGGTCTGTGTGGCCCAATGGCCAGTGGCATAAATTATGGCACTCGGCAATATAAAGCAATCGAACCGACTCGACTCGACTCGACTGACACACAAATCGCTTGTTTGTTTCCATTCTCGGTCGGCTGTAAACAGGTTTCGGGCCAAGATGCTCGGCCGATCCATCGAATTGGTCAATTAGTCAGAGCGTAATAATAAATAAAGCCGCGCCGAAATGAACGATCCAAGAAATACCAGAATGCCCAGAAAAGAGCAGACAATGCCAGCCCTAAAATAAAGAACGGCAGGCTACTTAGTCAGTTGATAAAAGCAGCAGAAGGCACGGCGTGCATTTGCATATTTATAAGGCAGCCCGAAACAAGTTAATAAGCTGTTCTGCCCAACGCATGCATAACTAACCATCTACAGATAAGCCCAGATCGACGGAATGGCGCTTTAATTAAGTGCATAAAGACTGGAGAGTCGGTGGATTGTTGTGGATTGTGGACGGGGGTATCTTTTGGAGCATCTCGGCATGCGCGATTTGCATTGCAAATTGTGCACAGGCATTTAAGTATTGGGTAAAATTTATGATAAGCCTCACACCAACAGATCCAGATCCAGATTCTAGTCGTTGGATTCGCCACACGAAGCCATCGATCTTTCCCCAGAACATCTTGACCGATAAAATCGATTCAGAGTAACCGGGGTTATCCAACGATAACCTGGACCATTAATCATTTCGTTGATTACGCGAATGATTCGGTAATAATCACTTAAATGCGAGGTTTAATGAACTTGAGTTGATCTACAAATGAATAAACACAATTTGCAAACAGAAAAAATTTGCTTTCTGGGTATCTATTAATTGAATAATTGATCTCAAAAGTAGGCAACAACTAACTAGATTTACTATAGCATTTTATTTTTGTAGAGCTTAAACTAATTCGGTTGCTATTTGGGCTAATCATTTTCGGATCGCTAAAAGGCTTTTTAAAGAGCAAAGGGCGCCGCCAGTAAACCTAATGAGAATTTTATGGCCCAATATTCTAAGCAATTTGCGAAAAAACAATTAATTCTTAACTTTCGGTGGCGCTGTGAAAGGTCAATAGCAATAAACGATTTCAAGGACAAGTTTTACTGCTTTTTGTGTTTCGGAATGTGCTCAGTTATATTCTATTTAAGTTTCGAAATAGTTTCCCTATTTGCGGTTTCCAATTCCATCAGAGCGAGAACCGCAAAATTGCTTCATTATACGCCGGAAATGTGATCAGCACTCACTTCGCCACCGGAATCACACGGCCCGCCAGTCGCTATAGGTATATGATCCGAAGATTTCATAGCGGAATATATAATATAAGAGTCTGCTAAGGCGACAATATGGCCAATGAGCATAACGAATGTGTCGGTGGTTGCAGAGTTCACATAGCTGCCATAAAATTATGTAAAACAGCCCATCATTTAGCGGCATTAATTCGCTAATTTCGCGGGGGAATTTTAATTTATATGCGCTGATGTATGAATTGGCTAAAAACAATTTCGGCGGAGGTGCAAACAAAGAGCTCTCACATAAATTTATAAATTAGAGGTATTTAGTTTTTTTTCTTTTCGATTTTTTTCTTTTTGGCTGGCGGGGGTACTGAATCTTTTTATTCGCATTTTTCTTCGTATCGCTTTTGTTTTATCTCTCGAGCACAAATTGCCGTTGGCACACTTTACACCTCGGCGCTTAAGCATTTATTTTAAACAAAATGTGCAAAATTTGTCGGTGCGAGGAAGTGTTTTCAACGGCTTCTCCGATGGTTCGGCTGCAGCCAAAGGCCAAACAGTTCGAGCGATCCGAGGCATCTCACAGGTGGTCAAGGTATCTGGCCGCCGGCGGCAGTTCATCAATAATTCTTTCGAAAGTCAATCACTCACAATATCCCCCGCCTCGATGGCCAGTTGGTCGGTCAGTCGGTGAGTTTGGTGAGTGTGGAACGTGCCAAAGTGCTTATCTGGCCAGCTTTCCAGCCGCCCCACTAATCGAAATTCATATAAAAAGGTGTGAGAGAATGTCGGAGAGTTTGGCCTATCTGTACTAGTTAACACAATATCTACCCAGAATACCTATGTATACAAACTAAACGATCGGTTTCCTTTCTCCATTGCAGCTCGTGCTGAAGAAGAGGTTTGAATGGTGGTTCTACAGGTGCAAGTTCAGCCAAAAGATGTCCACCCACTGGCGGCAGCACGCCGTTGTTTATGCCTGCGGCATCCTCTTCCTGCTGGCCATGGTCTTCATCTTCCTCCACGGAGTCCAGACGGGTCACAAGACGGGAGTGGAGCTGCCCCACAGCAATCGCTCGTCGCCCCAAACGAATGTTATTAGTATACCCGCAACCCCTGCAACTTCTGCAACACAACCACCGCCACCACCACCAGCACCGCCAGTCACGTTTCAGCCGAGAAGATTCGACAACGACTCCCTCGTGGATCCTGGCGATCCCGACGGCTTCGAGGATCTGGGCGACGAGGACCACAGCACCTTCGTCACACCCACCAAGGTCTACACCTACAGTCTGAGCGAAGGTGACCTGCTCTACGAGTCGAAGCGAAACAGCGACCTCAACATTCTCAAAGGTGAGCTCTAAACGAAGACCTTTAAAGGTAAAACTATTCAAAAATCTATCGGGTAGGCCCTTAAGAAAGTATCATTTTTATTATTTTGATATAAAATAAATAATAAAGTAAGCTGTAAATCTTTATTTTATGCAGTTAAGCTATAAAATAAAATCATGCAACCAATTAGAGATTAAAAAGAAAATGCAAAACAAGTAAGATTGAGGTACAAGCTGGTTTCGTGCCAAACGTGTAAGAAAAAGATTTAAGAATGAAATTCAATTTCATGGAAGAACCAATCTTATACTTCTAAATGAGAATGAGAACATATATATGTTAAGTAAATGCCAATTGACACCGAGTTGATAACCAACTTATTACAGGTGTTTTGTCACTCATAGAGTTAAATTGGTGTCTAAATAGTTGCAAATTTAAGTGTTTTTTTTTCCGCACCTAAAAATATTTACACAATTTGTTTTATAAATAAATGTTTTCCATTCCGAAAAAAGGTAAAAGAATTTATGTTTTATATTAACAACTATTGGAAAAGAATTTTGATATCAATATCCCTTGGAAATAGGAATATTTATTTTTAAATCAATATAATCTCTTGGTGCATCATTTTGTATTTTAACGCAAATTAACATTTGATTTAATCCACATCCCACTGAAGACACCTCATCAGCCTTCACCATGACGGGCACGTATCGCAACAGGAGCAACGAGATCTGGGACCCCCATCCGGAGTACAACCTCAACGTGTTCGGTCGCCAGTTGCATTTGGTGCTGCGGCAGGATGCCTCCTTCATCCACAACCACACGATGCCGCACATCCGAATCCTGAAGAACGAGGAGTACGACCCCGACATGGAGGCGGAGCAGGAGCCGGAGCAGCACCACCTGGGCTGCCACTACACCGGATACGTCGAGGGTGATCCCAACTCCATGGTGGCCGTCTCACTTTGCAGCGGAATGGTAAGCATGGCCAAGTGACCTTGGCCACTCGCCATTTGCATCGCAAATTCACACTTTGCAAATTATGCTTATCAATATTAAATATATTTAATATGACTACTAATAAGCGCTCCCTGCCGTGCGTTCTTCTCGCCTCCAGACTGGTTATATCAAAACGAGTTTCGGTGCTCTGCTCATCGAGCCGGTTAACCGCACAAGCAGCGATGAGGTTTTGCACCGCGTCTGGCGGAAGTCCCAGCGAAACGCCAGACAGGCTGTCTCCGACTTCGAACTGGGCCTGGACGCCCTGATGAGCCAGTTGGAGCAGGAGCACCAAAAGCTCCCCGCCGAATCCCGCAAACTCAAAAGGAGGAAACGCCACTACGCGGATGTGGACAATCAGCTCTACACTCTAGAAGTTCTCATTGCCGTTGACTCCAGCATGGTTAAATTCCACGGGGCAGATTTAAAGCCCTACATCCTCATCCTTTTATCAATCGTTTCGAGTATTTTTGGGGATGCCAGCATTGGTAACTCCATCCGCATCTCGCTGGTCAAGCTGATCGTGCTGCCCAAGACCAACGATCACCACAACTCGAGCAACGAAATGCTGAAGCGATTCTGCACCTACATCAATCAGTATGGATATCAAAGGGACACCGCCATGCTGATCACGCGGTGAGTTCAAAGAGTTTATCTTTTGGGAATTCCTAATCTAATTGAGTTTATATTTTTATGACTAGTGAACCCATCTGCGGTAGCGTTCCGGGCAAAATCTGCCACATGCTTGGCCTGGCCGAGTTGGGCACCGTCTGCAATCCCAGATCCTGTTCCATTGTCCAGGACACCGGACTGCCCACCGCCTTCACAATGGCCCACGAACTGGGACACATGTAAGTTACAACTTTGTATCCCACTACCTTTGGTAAATGTATTTTTTATGCATTTAAAAAGCCTACAAAAGTAAATAGACTCATTAAATATATTTTTTCGGATCCTAATCTTCTTAAAATGTAATCAGTTTTGCTTTCATTCATTGCAGTAAAATTGTTAAAGCTTATTATAGATAGATTGATATAGGTAAAATGAGAATTCTGTTATTTTGTATGCATAATATATTTTATGTATTTTTGAATCTTTTAAAAATAGAAAAAAATTAGGTCTAGACACACAGATTATTTGTAATCAAATTTTTAATTACTTTATATAGAAATACATTTTAGCTCTGAAATAGAATTTGTATTAAGTTGCGAAGGTACTAAATACTGAATGGCTTATCAAACTAATTAATTATTTTCCGATTTCGCTTATTTCAGCTTAAATATGAACCACGACGACGACGACAAGTGTTTGCCCTACGTGACGCGGCACAACAACAACAAGCTGCTGCACATCATGTCCAGCGTGATGGGCATCCACATGCACCCGTGGTCCTGGTCGAAGTGCTCCCGCCACTTCGTATCCGAGTTTTTAGAGTAAGTTCTAAGGAAAAACCCTTTTTATCAGAGTAACTAGAGATTCCCCCTCTAGGAAAACCGAAAAGTCCTGCCTGGAAACCTCCGTAGGCGAACACATTCCTTATGGAACGAAGCGGCTGCCCGGGGAAATCTACTCCCTGGACAACCAGTGCCAGCTGAGTTTCGGCAACGACTTTGGTTACTGTCCCACGGACGAGGAGTGCCGCAGGTTGTGGTGCAACCGGACCACAGGAAGCTCGAATGACCAGTGCCGCTCCAGCAATCTCCCTTGGGCGGATGGCACGCCCTGTGGCGAGGGAATTGGCAGTGGTCATTGGTGCCAAAAAGGCAAATGTGTGTCCAACAAACACGGCTACGGAAGAAAAGTCAATGGAGGATGGGGTCCCTGGACGCCCTTCACCCCCTGCAGCTTGACCTGCGGCGGAGGAGTGCAGGAATCCCGGCGGGAGTGCAATCTCCCAGTGCCCGAACATGGAGGAAAGTACTGCTCCGGAAGTAGAAAGAAGTACCGATCGTGCAACACGCATGCGTGCCCCATTGGCAGCATGGATCCGCGGGAGCAGCAGTGCTACGACATGAACGGCCGCAAGCTGAACATTCCGGGCGTGAACCCAGCCACCAAGTGGGTGCCCAAGTACCAAAGTGAGTGGCTTTTGCAGAACACCGTCTAATGTCCAGCAGGGCTAAATATATCCCCACCAATTTCATATCGACCCGCAGAGGAGGCGTGCAAGCTCTTCTGCCGCATGGACATGCAGGTCACCTACTTCATGCTGAAGAGCAAGGTCACCGATGGCACCTCCTGCGCGGTGGACAGCTTCGACAAGTGCGTCAATGGAATCTGCCGGCCGGCGGGATGCGACAACGAGCTCAACTCGATTGCCAAGCTGGGTAAAGACACACAGATCTCTCGCATGCCTACAACAAGCTATTGCCTAACCCGAAAACGCCTCTATAACTTAAAGCTTTCAATGTACTATAAATCATCATTAATAATAATTAATCGATTTCCGGTTGTTCTTTTTCTTTCTTTCTTTCGTTTTTTTCTGCAGACAAGTGCGGCGTGTGCGAGGGTCGGAATGACACATGCCACGAAGTCACCGGAAACCTGCTCGTCTCCCATCTCCTGGGTCTGAATGACGGGAATGACCCCAACAAGACACTCTACTATGTGACGACAATACCAAAAGGTGTGTGTATTCCCATACTTAGTACATTCGTACATTTCGTTAATTAATTTTTGGCTAATAATTTCCTCAATGAATGCTAATGGTGTCTGTTTGTGCCTTTTCGTCTTAATGGCTAATTGCTTACCTACGTGTGGATTGTGGTTTGTGCTCGTGACTTGGGAACAGGGCGAATGGGGTAGATAGTGATGGGGTTGTCGCCGGATCATCAGGTGCTGGGCGCCAGGTGAATGAATGCACCCCACTGAATCACGTACGCCGCGATTCCGATTCTCCGATTCCGATTCCGGGCCTATCAGTCGTCTTACGCGGGTCACTCCGGATCGAAATTGGCCATTAAATATATTACACTATTCAGAATCAATGCGCCTAATCGGCCTTCTGGCGCCACCCGTTAATCTTGTAAATTCCGGGCCCTGTGCTAAGCAATTCGCGATCAACTGCATCATCACCGGTTTTAAATTAGCACTATTTACATTTTAATCACTCGTCATTGCCATTTCTTATCTGCTCTGCTAGCTTATTGCAAATTTAATGCATTTTAAATGCACTTGGAGTAGTTGGCCGGCTTTTCAATTAAAACCTTTTTCACGCACATTTTTTTCTGAGCAGTCATGCTAGTTCTGATGAAATTGAAAAGAATAGAACGCAACTGTGTGGGTGCTAATCCGATAAATGCAGTTCGATATTTTGGGCATCCATTAAGATTCGATTTACGACACGTTCATTGAGTGCAAAGTGGCGCGCCATTTAAAATTCAAGTATTTGTTGCATTTATTGAGGTAGAAAACAGTAGGTATATAAATGTAAAATCCATAACCAGCTGTTGGTATTTTTGGTAATAAGGTATTTGTGTTTTTATATAAATGTAATATCCATAACCATTTTAGTTTTAAAACAAAATTATTGTTTTATTGACAGGTGCCTCCAACATCATGATCACCCAGCCCGGCTATCCAGAGCAGAACTTCATAGTCCTGAGCGACGACAAGCAGAACAAGCTTTTGAATGGAGAAATGGTGAAGACGTATCCGTTCAAATTTGTCTATGCCGCGGTAACGATGCAGTACAGCGGTTCCAGCAGTCCGGTGGAGCAAGTGAACACGACCTACTCATGGAAACTGTCGCGTGATCTTATAGTTCAGGTACTATTTTCTTAATGTTAGCTTGGGAAAGGTAGAAAGTAAATGTATGTTCTTTGGCAGATCATTTCCTTAGACGTGAGTGCTGCCAAGCAGCAGGACACCGTGCTGATGTCCTACTCCTACACCATTGACAAGCCGCAGAGTCTCGAAACGGAGGTGGAGATCTACCGGTGGGAGATGCAAGCACCCAGCAACTGCGATTCCCTCTGTGAGGGCAGGAGCGTTCGCCAGCCGGCCTGCATCAGCACCACCCAGGGCCTCAAGGTCGCTCCCCAGTTCTGCGATAAGTCCGCCATGCCCAAGGTCGAGGAGAGACCCTGCAACACGGACTGCCGCCTCAAGTGAGTTTTTTGAAAGTAGTTTTTTAACTTTTGTTTCAAACCGATAACCCATTTCGAAAAATCGTTAAAAGTTTGTTTCGTTGATCGTAACATACAAGGATAACATAAATACTAACTGTTTAGAACAGAACAATTTAACATTAATCATCGCTGTTAAGCTAACAGTTGTTTAAATCAGCTGAGTAGAAAGTGCCGTTAGATCGTTTACTTTTGTGAAAAGTTTAAAAAGTTGAAAAGAGACATGCCATTTTAAATCTGACTTTATGAACAAGAAACCGAAGTGCGAATTTTCAAACAATTATAATAGCACTATTAGAAACTTATAGTTAAGAGGAGTTCTTTTCGAGATAATTAATTATTTTAAACCCCTTATCAGTCTCACTGTGAAGAGCATATCAGAGTGCTCGGCCGCCTGTGGAGAGTTGGGTACCCGCGAGAAGACCTTCAATTGCATCCAGACATTCCCAAATATGCCGGGTTCCAATATTGTGGATATGTCCTATTGCAAACTGAAGTTCGATGTTGCCTACCACGAGGAGTGTCGCGAGGGCTGCTGGATTTTATCGGAGTGGTCAGCTGTAAGTTGAAAAGAATACCCTTCCAGAATAATATTAAATATATTATTCATTTGCAGTGCTCAAAGTCCTGTGGCACTGGTTCCCAGCAACGCGAGGCTCACTGCTATCTACACAATTCCCGTGTCAGCGATGATCTTTGTAATGCCAGGACCAAACCCCATTTGACAAACCTGATCAACTTCTGCAATCCTGAGCCCTGTCCCACTTATACAGAATCACCAGTGAGTCTTCTTAAATGTGTTTATTTATATTTACATCATTAACTTGTAACCTCAACCCTCAGAACGCCCTGGCGGTTAGTAACTGGGTGATTGGAGAGTGGGGCGAGTGCAACGAGTGGTGTGAGAAGAGTCGATCCGTAAGCTGTTCACATCCCTATGGAATCGGTTGCGACAGGAAGCCCAAGGACGTGCGAAAGTGCTGCCACATCAAGTACACTAGCGAATGGACACAGGTGAGCTAACTTAACTTAAAACCTATAAAGTCAGGTATCTATAATTTTGAATTTTATTTCTCAGTGTTCGGTGCAATGTGGCGAGGGACAGAAGTGGAAGAAACAGCGCTGCACGAGGGTCTACAAGCCAGAGGTTCCGGGCACCCCGAAGCGAAGGGAGTACATCAACGAGTCCTACTGCGTGAGCCGCAATGTGCGAAGGCCCAAGCTGCGCACCACCACCAAGTCCTGCAGGATCAACTGTAAATGGAACGCCTCCGACTGGACTCGCTGTCCTGCCGACTGCTCGGAGGACTACCAAACGCGTTACGTGCGCTGCGAATCCTGGCAGGGCGACAACGTGGAGGAGGCCCACTGCGATCCCAAGAAGCGTCCTTCCAAGCGAAGGATCTGCAGCAATTGCGTGCGCCGTCAGTCAAAGGTTATTGCACAGGTGAGTTTAGTTACTTTGGGTATCATGCAATCACTAAAAAAACAGAACTAGAAACAAGTATATTTTAAAATTATTTGTTGGTAATTAAAAGCCCTATTTTCATTTATTGTAATTTTATTCCATTATCTCCATCTTTAACACCTTCAAGATAATAATTGGTATATGTTATAAAGAGACTTATATTACTTTAATTTTTTAGTGCAACTGCGATGGAGTAGAGAAGCGGCGGGACATCTGTTTCAACTGGCACAAGGGCCGCATAGCCTGTCCCACCCGCTCGAAGGTGGAGCGGCACAGCTGTACGCCACCGCCTCATTGCCGCAGGAGGAGTGCCATCGGTAGCAACATTAGCAGCAGACCGAGAAATGGCAACACAAACACCAACAGCAACATCAACAGCAACATTATAAACAGCGGCAGGAGCATGGAGACCATCCGCCATCCGAGGAACCAGGGGAGACCGAGCAGCTGCGAGGAGCTGAGGCAGATGCACGGCTACAACAAGGATGGTGAGTACCAGTTGGAGGTGCGATCCCGGATCGTGCGCATCTACTGCCACCAGATGGACAGAGGGACGCCGCGCGAGTACGTGAATGTGGATCCGCAGGACAACTACTCCATCTACTACGAGTATCGGACGAAGCAGACGAACAGCTGTCCGCCGGAGTCGCGACGCCACGAGTACTACAACGACCAGAACTCCGGGCGGACGCACTTCAGCAAGCTGCGGCTGAACATCACGGATCTGCGGATCCTCGACAACGACTTCCAGTTCGCCGAGTCGCACGGCCAGCCCCAAAAGCTGGCCTCCGCCGGCGACTGCTACAACCGCAATGGCCAGTGTCCGCAGGGCGACTTCTCCGTCAACCTGAAGAACACCGACTTCACCATTCGGCCGGGCACCGTGTGGAACATGCATGGCCAGTACTCGGTCATGAAGCGCATCAGTGAGGTAGGTTCACTTAGATTATATAAGTTCAATTTGGTCGCTAAGTGAAACATGTTTGAACATTTTTTTAAGTCCGCGTACCTATTCCCCTTACTAAGCGTTTTGCTCAAGTATTCTGAAATATTTTTAAAGCTAAGCAATCAATAAACAAAATTGATTGTATGAAACGCTGACAAAGTTAACAAAGTTAAAGCATTAAACAGATTTATGTTCTACGGAGTTAAGTACATTCAAACGTTTTCTGAAGGAAAAAAAATATTTGTAAATTTGCATTTAGTTTAAAATAATATTAGGATCATGTCTTATACAATTATTTTTAGAGAAATCAATGATTAATTGAGGGTTTAGTTTATTAAGAGCAGTTTAAAATAATCATGTCCTTAATGCAAATATTTAGTTTATATTTATTTTATATATATATTTAATGCCCTAACCTCCCGATCTATATATTAAGTGGCTTTATAATCATTTATTCCAATTGAATTTATAATAACTTGTTGTCTTTTGCTTCCAGTTTGATACCACCTCGGTGATGCGGAGAGGCTTCTGCGGCGGATACTGCGGCGGTTGCTACATAGCGCCTAATTCTGGTCTGTACTTGGACGTCTTATGACGAACAGATAGTTTGACCCCCCCATGGTAATCGGCTCTACGCGCCGGGGAGGACCACGGGTTAAGTTAACCCCAGCATCGTCATGTTCGAGGGTTGCCCCAGCCAAGAATTACCAGAATTACCACTGCTGAGCGCGGGCTCAGAACATTTAACGATGGTCAAAAGTATTCTCGAATATTAGCTAGGATATACGTACGTATCATACATAGATGTTATGTAACTTAGGAGTCGCGTCGAAGAAGCCCGAACAAATGCGAAATAAATGTACATAGAAGTTTATTTCAACCCGAAATTAGTAACTAGATATTATTGCCATGTAATGTATTAAGTATTGTAAATACCAGAGGACTCGAGCCATTAATATAGCGAATAAGAATGATTGACCAAAAAACAATCCATAAGTCGGACGGTAGCCGTAATGATTATTAATTAATTAGGGCAGCTCAGTTGAACCCGTATTCATGCCAACTATCATGATGGGAAGCTTAAATAGGTACTATCAATGTTAAGAAGGAATGCATTTCTAATGATTATCCATACGAATAACCTTTCCATCACTGACGATTTCCGAAAATCAAGTGCTCTCGACTAAAACTAGTGCAATGCCGGTCTGTACAATAATTGTCTTAGCTAAGCTTCACGGTTAATTAGTTAAGAGGATAATTCGGAAATATTGTATGTGTAACTAAAACGAATACTCATATTATTTAGGAGACCCCCGACCGCACAAGCCAAAACCAAACCATAATCATACCATACAATTGCCCCGCTGAAGGAACATTTCGAATTAAAAACAGTCACTGCCAGACTTTCAATGTTCAATCCATCATATCCCTAATCGCCTAAGTCCCGGTACCAAGTATCCTCGCTGTATTTTCATTTAACTAGTTAGGCTAATGCAAAAAACCAATGTTAACACTTAATTTAATGTCGATTAAAGGAATTTAAAGCTGTTACCAACCGATCTTCGTTTGTTCATCTCCGTGGTGCTTTCAACTATTTTAATACACGGTTCTAATAGAAAAGTGTATTTATTTAAAGTATTTAATAGTTTTAATGGAAGATATATTTGGCCTTCAATTCACTGTGTGGGGTTTTTGGGTTTGGACATTGTTCTTGTTATAGTAAAAATCCCCTGTGCTGATGCCGATTGACCATGAAGGATGGGTTTGCTTTAGTGAATCTGAGTTGGATGATTATCGTGCGATGGGTTCGCTGCTTTTGTCTATCACTGTGCGAGGAGCCTAAGTTATTGTTGTTGTTGGTTAGCTCCTGGTTCTCGCCGCTTCTGGTTGCCTTCGAAGAGCTTTCGCGTCGGGCGAAAGACTTAAAAGCATTTGCGGTGGACAATGCCGGGTCCGGACTCATCGTACTCCTGCTTCGAGATCCACATCTGCTGGAAGGTGGACAGCGAGGCCAGGATGGAGCCACCGATCCAGACGGAGTACTTCCTCTCAGGTGGCGCAATGATCTTGATCTTGATGGTGGACGGAGCCAGGGCAGTGATCTCCTTTTGCATGCGATCAGCAATACCTAAGATTTAAATTAAGTATTAGTAAGTGGGTAAGTGGACAGAGGTCACTCTAATCTCACCAGGATACATGGTGGTACCACCGGACAGCACAGAGTTGGCATACAGATCCTTGCGGATGTCCACGTCGCACTTCATGATCGAGTTGTAGACGGTCTCGTGGATGCCGCAGGATTCCATTCCCAGGAACGAGGGCTGGAAGAGAGCCTCCGGGCAGCGGAAGCGCTCGTTGCCAATGGTGATGACCTGGCCATCGGGCAACTCATAGGACTTCTCCAGCGAGGTGGAGGCGGCGGCGGTGGCCATCTCCTGCTCGAAGTCCAGAGCCACGTAGCAGAGCTTCTCCTTGATGTCGCGCACGATCTCACGCTCGGCGGTGGTGGTGAAGGAGTAGCCGCGCTCGGTCAGGATCTTCATGAGGTAGTCGGTCAGATCCCGGCCAGCCAGATCCAGACGCAGGATGGCGTGGGGCAGGGCGAAGCCTTCATAGATGGGCACGGTGTGGGAGACACCATCTCCGGAGTCCAAGACGATACCGGTGGTACGACCGGAGGCGTACAGGGAGAGCACCGCCTGGATGGCCACATACATCGCCGGCGAGTTGAAGGTCTCGAACATGATCTGGGTCATCTTTTCGCGATTCGCCTTGGGATTCAGCGGTGCCTCGGTCAATAATACTGGATGCTCCTCGGGGGCCACGCGCAACTCGTTGTAGAAGGTGTGATGCCAGATCTTCTCCATGTCGTCCCAGTTCGTGATGATGCCGTGCTCGATGGGGTACTTCAGGGTGAGGATACCGCGCTTGCTCTGCGCCTCGTCGCCCACGTAGGAGTCCTTCTGACCCATGCCCACCATCACGCCCTGGTGACGGGGACGGCCCACGATCGAGGGGAACACGGCGCGGGGGGCGTCATCGCCGGCGAATCCGGCCTTGCACATTCCGGATCCGTTGTCGATAACTAATGCACCCGCATCATCGTCACACATCTTGGCAGTTGATTATCTGGTGGGCAGAGGGAAGGCAATTGGTCAGATTTCTCTGCTAATTGATTTGAATATGTCTAAAATCCAAGTTTACACGAAAATACGACTTTGCCATCTAAATGTGATTTGAATTACTCTTAAGCCCCATATAACTATATATATATTGTTATCTGGTGGACATTTTGTTCTCCTGGTTATTGATGGGTTTCTAAAATGCTAGCGACGTAGTATCCAAAATTCTTTTTATACCTGTATCTTAAACTACTCATTTAATATAAATAACAAATAGACTACAATTTGACCTTTTTTTTATCTGTTTTAAATTTGTTATTATCCTTTAAGTTTTATTTTTAATTTCACTTTTCTAGATGTTGAAATTAAGTCAATGAATTTAACCACCATAAAATAAAAGTTGTATTTAAATGTTGTGACTGATTTAATAGTTTTAGTATTAAGTTACTAAGGATTCGTCGTAAAAGAAACTTGGGTTTCATTTTGATTTGTAGTAGCATTTATTAGCTTATTCACTTGATTTAAGAAAAATTTCTAAAAATATCGCAATGAGAAAGTTCATAGAACTTTAATTGAGCCGATCAAATTAACTAGGAATTCTTTTCTTTTCGAATCGATTACTCTGCACTTTATAAATAGAAATTGAACTTTGCAGAGTGGAAAATCCACGGCCACAAAACTTTAAACTGAACTATTTAGAAACTGTGTTAATATCCTTAATCCTTTTGGCTTTGTTCTGCGATAATCCTTTAATCCTTCGACATTGAGGTCGCACTCACACACCTATAAGGTCAACGAAAGGAGGTAAAATAAGTCGCACGATCGATTCTTGTTGACGGCTAGACTCAACAACAAATGGCACGCCGTGCGGTCTGTCCTGCCTTTATATCGGGACTCTCGCCCAAAGCGATTTGAATTGAGTGGCAATCGCTTCTCAGAGAAATGCACGAGCGAAAGCAGGCGAAACAATCAACTCGAATCGATCCATATAAGCCGTTTTCTTTGTTCTTGCTGAGCGTTACAGAAGTTTGGCTACTTAAAAAAACTTAGGCGACAAAACACTGCGCTACACCTATAACAATTCTTCCCAACAAAATGTAAGTAAAATGATAGTAAATAAAATTAGTATAATCAGTATACATTTACATATACAACTCTATTACCTTAACCACAGAAAAATGGTAATAAAAATAATGTTTTATCAATAACTAAAATAGAAAATGTTATTCCATAGATTTGAAAATACTTTCTCTCAAACTCTAATCTCTCAAAAAAGTGAGGACATACACTATTCTAATGGAAGATTATATTAAACATGTACTTATCACAATATCATACGTATTTTAATTTGCAATCTGGTAATAATAGTTTGATTACCTATCCCTCAATTAATTTATGGTTTATTTAACTGCCTTGAACATATTTTCCATGAAGATATTATACTAAATTTAATGCATCTGTCATCCCTCTTCTTATAAGTTTATCTAAGCAAAGGGATGCAGGTTTCAATCAATCATAGGACTCATCCCAATCAAGGAAGGGACTTTATCCCGAGAGAAAGCCCGAGAAAGGCAAGAGAACGATATAAACGAGTGATTAGCGAACGTGCGTGACAGTCGGAGCGTTGGCCAATTCGAGCAATCAGCACTCGCGATGGACCAATTAGCCGCTGTTGCCAGCAGACGACTCACTCGGCTGCCTCACTCGCCTCGCAGAGAGTTCGGAAAATAGAAACGGACCTTAGAAGGACCGACGCAAGACAATTGGCATCCGCGACAGGGACTGGGAGGACGGGACACCACCTCACCACCTCGACATCTCGGAACGGGCACGCAGCATGGCGAACCGAAATAGACGCGCCCGGCAGAAAGACACCTATAAATCAACATCAAGGTTGATCGAGATCTCCGCGCGCGGTGCTCGAGGAAGCTGCATTTTCCTCGGCATTTTCCTCGGCGCCGCTGCAGCACCGAAGTTGCGAAATCACCGTGCCGACCATTTATCAGAGCAATCAGAGCAATTAACAACCAAAATCAGCCAGAGCAACGGAAAATGCACTTGCGCTCGCTATTTTCGCGCTTCTCAATTGATTTGTATTTATCCTTTTATGTAGATTTGATTATTTTTTAGACTATTTCTATTTGCATTTTTATCGGTTGACCACATGTATAATCGTATGTGGACTGGCTAAAAATAATCCCTGATAGTTCGGAAGTGAATAAGTGGCATTCCCAACGTTTTTTATTCGGTAATTGCATTGCTTGTCATCGAGTGTTGAGCAAGAGGCTCTCATCATAGATGATTTAATTTTTCAGTTCAATACAAGTAGCACGGCAATCAGTTCTATTTTTCAAATAACTAACAGTATTCTTAATTAATTCATTTATTTTAGTTAAAAAATAATTTTATTAACACAGCTCTATTTCCTTACATTTTGGATTTGCATAGGAATTCTTAACATTTTTCTACTAAAACATAGATCCACGGTTGAAAAAGAAATTTAAATATTTTTTTCATGTTTTTAATAGGTTCTTTAGTTCAAAAAAAAAAAATGTTTATTGCTGCTTTTTGAAATTGTTGGTTTCAAAATCAATAAAATCAAATTGCCAGGATTACATGCCAATCTCTTGAGAATTTTATTTTCAAGTGCAATGCGGTATGACATTTCATTTTTGCTATTTTTACCCTAATTTTTGTAAAACAGAAATTTTTTGTAACAAATATTTGAACAATAATAATTAATTCATACGTTGCAACGCGTTGCAATATTAAAACAAAAGCATTTGTTTTAATTCTTTTGTCTAGCCGAGACATAAACCATATGTGGCAACCGAAAAATAAAAGCACACTTTTCGGATGCCACAAATGTTAGTACCACGATTTTCCACTGTTGCCCAATGGCGCTGCTGAAAATTGCTTTTATTTCTTTCAACAAGTTTCAAACAATTTAATAACATATTTTTTTTATATATTTTATAGTTTTTAAAAAATTCCTATGTCAGATTAAGAATATCTTTTGATAAAGGAATATAATAAATTATTTTTGCACGGGCCCCCAAAGCTCCGTACAACCCGTTTCCGCTGGCACCAAGTTGGTGAAAGAGCGCAAAGCGAAAGCCAAGCGAAAGAAACATGCTCCCCGGCCAAAACGAAAGACTTAAGACCCGAACGCGAATGCGAACCTGAAGCAAAAGCTAAAGAAGAAGAAGCAGAAGTAGAAGCAGAATGAGAAAAGCAAAACCGAGCCGAGCTCGAAAAAGAAAGTGCAAGTGGACGCGGATGCTTAAGTATTCCGTCAGCGGAGTCGCGTTTACTTTGTTTTATTTTCCTCCACGCTTATTTCTACTTTTTTTTTGTTCTTTGCGGCTGTGTTGGTTTCACGGGCAGAGCGCACCACTGGAGACCAAGACCGAGACCCAGACCCACAGTCACAGTCACTCCACAAGCACAACCACAACCACAGCAACCACTATAAATATCACCACCACAGGCGAAAAGGTAAAACCAAAAAACCTGAGCCACGAGCGCGTTGGCGATGACGACGTCGACTGAGGTAGCGACTGCGCAGCGGCAGCGCTGCTTGACCCACTTTTGTGGCCATACAATCAGAATGTTTCATGTTTCGATTTTATTATTTTATTTTCTGTTTCTCTTTTCGTGTATCTTTTCGATTTGCTGGTCAGCTAAAAGTGTGCATGTGTGTGTGTGTGTGTGCAAAGTTACTTTTTCTTTTCTTGCGGCTTTGCTGCTCTCATTGTTCATGCTGCTGGCTGTTGTATTTTGTGTATTTTGTGTTGTAGGCCTATGAAAGATACGTGTGTAGATACGAGAACCATTTATTTCGTGGCATGACTTTCGAAAAAATTGTTTTATATTTCACTCGCCGTTTGCTTACTGCTGTTGCTGTGCGGGGGAAAAATCTCTGCTCTTTCAGATTTCTGACTTCTTACTCATTACAGAAGTAACGGAAAATCCAGCTGGATTGATAATTACAGGAACGTACAATAAACCATCTGTCGGATTTTCGACTGCATGTTGCTGTTGCTACTTCTGATGTTGCTGTTGTATCTGTTGCTGCTGCTGTAGATGTTGCTGCTGTAGATGTTGCTGCTGCTGCTGCTGCTGCGTTGCTGCCGGCAGCATGACATAAACTTTCGATTGTCTGCCCGTCACATAACTGTTACTCGTCTTGTGCCTCCGTTTCCCCACATTTCCATTTCCATTCCCATCTTCTTCTTCCTTTCTTGTTCTTTAAGCCATTTCTTCTTCTTGCCCTCGACTACCGCATCAATTTGGACTTCGGGCTTAAATGGGTAATTGGGTCAGGCAACGTTGGCCGCTTTCGGGAAAAACGTTTTCAAACTCACTTCACTTAAGATTCTTTGGCTTGAGTTTGTCAAGAGTTAGTCATGCGGCGGTTGGCTCTTGTTCTTTGCGAGACTTTATGAAATTCGGAGATCTCACCTCTCCCCGGATTTTACAACTTTCGTGGCTTATTCTTTTCGCTGGCTTGCTGGCTGGCTGACTGGCTTACTGGGTGCTTAATGCGTTTGGCATCGTTTTCGGCATCTCCGCTGGTTCTGCCTCGCCCTCTGCTCATCTTCTTTTGTTAATTATTAAAAAGTGAAAATACGGTTTTGGCCCTGTTTGGGGTCTCGGCTTTTGACTGCATTAATCATGTGGCCGCGATACATCTCGTGGCTCGTTTCTTTTTTTTCCCCCTTCAGCAGTGCAAACGGTTCTGGCCCGGTCGAGATTTATATAACGAACCGGCCGTCCAATTAAACCCATTAGCTCCCCTATTGACCACCAAGCGCTCCCATCGTTTGGCAATAAAATGCGTTTTCGTTTTCAGCAGAAACAAAATATTCCGTTGCTCATTAGCATGTAAATACAAATTCGGGCCTATTAGTTGGTCGAAAGTCGTTGGTTTGCGACACAAGATGGGGCACTGCACGGCCAAAATGGATTCTGCATCCCTCTGTTTTCCATGTGGAACACTCGAAGTGCCCGCAAATGGGGAGATGATTTACATCTCCGTGTATGTGTAACAGTCGCTGGCTTTATCAGGCAACTTTCACCCAGTCAAGCGGTGGGTTAAGAAAAAAAAAAAAGGAAAAAGAAGAATCGATCAATCGGCAACGGTGTGAAGTGACTTGCATAGAACGCGGCCTTTACAACCTTACAACATTGAAATTCTCTCCGACAATTTATCAAGCTTGGGAAAATCTCGGAAGAAAGAAAAACTAAAAAGCTGACGAGCGGCGAGCAAACATAACGTAGGCCTACCGTGGGCAATTCAATCCGACTACAAAAGAAAGGGGAAAAAGGGGGGAAAAAGGGGGGAGGGGGAGTGAGGCACAGACAGACACAGACATCTTCTACATTAGAAAGTTTTCTTCCCCCAGCATCGAGTGTAAGACAAAAGAAACAACTGTAAGTGCAGAGAGACCCCGAAGATACCGAAAGATACTCAAGCTCCAACTGCAACTGCAACTGCAAATGGAGCCTGCTGAAGGCAGAGGCAGCTTGCAACGCTCACTGCGCATAAACCAGAGGCAGCAGCAGCAGCAGCAGCAGCAGCAGCGGCAGTATAATGCAGTACCACCAGCAACAATGAGAAATGCTCACCGGTGAAAGATTTCCAAATGCAACAACACTCGCCAAAGTTGCAGACAAGATGGTCCAAGTTAATTTCTGCCCGGCTCGCTGGGTGCTGCTTTTCCACCTTCTCCTTCCCCTTTACCCACCCCGCTGGCAATTAAACTATAATTAAGAATCTAATGGAGTTTCACTCTCCTTGTGCGTAATTAGCCGTGCGGTTTATGCAAAGAAAAGTAAAAACGGCGGCAACAATGGAAAAGCAAGCGGAATAAGATTGCCAGCGAAGCGGAGGCCAAAAATGTGCGACAAGAAGAGGAAAAAAATCGTTTAAATTATATAATTATAAAAAAAATCTTGACAAAAATAGACGAAAGTTGTAATTTGCAGGGGAGATGGAGGGAAAAGCTGGAAGCCGCCGACAAGCCGTAAACCGAAAAACCGAAAAACCCGAAGCGAGCTTAGAAGGCAGCGATGAAAGTTAAAGTTATAAAAGCAGTTTGGGAACGCACTGGAATCGAAACGATGGTAAGCTGTAAATAATTAACCGTTTGTTTGTGTGCGAGAGCTGAGCTCCCAAGGCGAAACTCTTACTCGGCGGAGCACATGGCAAACAAACCGCGGACCAAAACAAAAGACTTCAACGAAGAACCAAACTTCAGCGTAGCTCGAAAGCTTGATGGTGTTAGTAAACACACATACATACGAATAAACTTACAGCAGAGAGAAAGAAATGGTAAAAGCACACAAACTCTTGAGCCGAAGAACCAACTGCAGAGCTTCCAATCTACAGGTGTGTATGTGTGTGTGTATTGGTTTGAGTGTGTGTGTGGCAAGCGAAAGCGTCGCTGCCGCTGCTGCTGAGAAACGAAATGGAATGGCATGAAATTTCTTAGCGATCTTTGAGGATAAGCGCTGGTTTCACTGCGCGCTGCCGCACAGACGTCTACCGCGTTTCGAGGCAGACGCTACGTTCCACCGTTCGGCGCGCAAGAATCGCCACTCAGCCCGTAGAAAGTCGCGCCTGCGCAGAAACCTTACAAACAAACAAAAAAAACAGAAGAAATAAATAATAATACATATAAAATAAGATAAATCAAAAGTGTGGAGTGCAGCTAATATCCAGCGCACAGCATCATGCTGCCTAAGTGCAATCAAAATGTTGACTTCTTTTGACTCTTCTTCGGCTGGAATTTGAGTTTCTCCCCCCTCGAAAACGTATCCGTTTTTTATTAACTGCCTTGTGTTCTCTGCATATCAAAAAAACGCAAAAGTGAAAGTGATTTTTCGGTGTTTCGGTGCGTGTGAGAGTGCCCCTTGAATGACAAATATTGATATGGTACAATGAAAACCAGGCAATTCCCGACAGCCAAATAAGCATCGAGAGAAACTATCTAAGAAATACATTTAGCTTGTGTGTGCCCATTGGATTACGGAACGGAAAGTTGGCGACCAGCTTAAGGATAACCAGCAAGGGGATCGGAATATACCCAGCACATAGCGCTATCATCTACAAATTATCGGATTTGGATATGGCTGCCAACGAGATTATGACACCCACAGTCAATGCGAATTGTCAATACTCGACTAGATATTGTTGTAAGTTGGTCAGAATTTTCGGGATTTACTAACAAGGATTTTGGATATTTTACATATATTTCGAAAAACTTTCTGAGGATACTAATATTTATGAATAGATTTATTGATTGATATATTTCTATTTCTAATAGTACATTTTTCAGAAAGAATATAAACATTAAGAATTGGATTTATTAGGATAGGAGAGGATAGTTTGAGTTACAAAAGTATGACTTTACTAAAATATATTTACTATCTTATGCATTAAAGCTTCTGTTTAGTTTTCTATTCTTCATCTCCCGCATTTCCAACTCTATCAGTCTACCAAACTTGTTCTACCAATTAGAAAAGACTTAACTCCAATCGCCCACACAAAAAAGGGGCTTGGGGTGCAGAACGCCTAGCGAAAGCAACAAACAAACAAACCGCGCATTCGGGCAACCTGCGCAGCGAGAAAGAAATTTTCAAAACAAAAAGCAAGAGCTGCTTTTTTATAGAAAGTTTCCCCAGGAAGGGGCACCAAGTTTCAGTGGAGTTGCAGCCAGTTTGGAGTCGCCCAGCGAAATGCGATGTGTTGCCGTTGTTGAGCATCGGCGGCGACTAGCAATCGCGTTGCTGCTTCTGCTTCTACAGTATCTGTATCTCAGAGCTGTAAGCCATGTATCTGTATCTGTATCTCTGGCCGTCTCTGTCTTTTGGCCTGGCTAAAGCGTTGGCTTTGGCTTGGCAGCTCGCTTCTGCCACTGCTACGACACGAATATTAATAGGTGAAAGTTGTTGCTTCGTTTCTTCGTTTTTCTTTCTCGCCGACGCCGCAGTCGCCGCCGCTGCCTCTGTCGACGTCGCTGCCACTTCTACAGCCATGAAAATAAATAAAAGATCCCTTTTTGGGTGCAGAATTTATGTTTCCTTTGAGGCATCCAGTAATTTCTCCTCACCACTAGTTAAGTTGGCCAGATTCATACATACACAAAATCACCTATTATGTTCAGAATTTTTATATTTTGATAGCTTAATACGAATTCCTTAAAACAAAAAAATATTGATATCATTAATCACTTTAATGTATTTTTATGATTTATAAATGACCATTTTTTAACTGGTTTAAATGATCTTTTTCCATTATTTCTTATACTGTTGTCAAAATGCTTTTATTATATAGTATCTATGAATTTGTAACTTTCTTAGCTTATAAAAAATCTATTTCTATTTTCTATATTATTTTCATCTCAACATTTTTGAATTTATAGTTTCCGAACTCTGTTCACATTTTATTATAATACGCTTTTACTGATCCCCTGAGAAATTTTCTTTCTCTGTGGGTGAATGTTGCTGGTCGGCTTTGAGTCCTGTCATAAGTTGACCCACTTTTCGGCCCACTTCATTGCCATGCAAATGGATTTGATCGCAGGCCAGAAACGAATATCCCTATTCGAGCGCAGCCTTCAATCTTGTTTACCATTACCATTGCCAAGCAAAATGGTAAACCGAAATCAGAGTGTCTCTCTGTTTCGCTGTCGTTTTGGCATTTTCATTTCCATTATAATTAAGCGCTTACATAACCGCCGTTTGTTTACAAACTCGGCTGGGCAGGTTCGTGTTTCGAGTTCAATGTCCCAGCGCGTTGGGTCTTCAGATTGCAACAGTTCCTTCCCGACTCGTGTGGATCTCTCTCGAACTCCCAGTCGTATACGCAATATTATCTGCTCTGGGCTTCCATTTCGGTTTCGATTTCGATTTCTGCCCTGCAAATATTCATAGATAGTTAGCCACAATAATATTTGTGTCTTTATTTGTTTCTCTGGCACGCGCAATTATCGGGAATGACGCATCGGATTTTCTGTTGGCCAAAAAAAATCGATGCCAAAACTCGGCAACTGAAGTACATAACAAGAAAATAGTTTAAATAGTGGCGGCGTTGGCGAGCAAAGTGTTGGAGTCGAATTGGTTTCGAGTGGAGGTTGCCCAATAATGCCGTTAGATGATAAACCGCTACAAATTATTTTACCCACAAACAAACACACACACACACACACCATACACACACGTACACACATATAAATTTCTTCAGTGTTACTGCTGTTTTCTATTTTCGTTTCGTACGCCATTATGCAACCTGTTAGCTTGTATCTTGTCATTCGTCTCGAAGCTCGAGGAAAGTCGCAGAAGATGCGATGGGCAGCATAAGCATCAGATTGGCAGATCTTCAGATCTTCAAATCGGAATGGCCCAATGCCACTGGCGGCCACTTGGGCATATCTTGAAAGTGAAAACCATTCCGATGCCATCGAAGTAACTGCCTCATTTGGCGGGGGCTTTCTACTCGTTTCTACTCTGAACTTGCGTGAATTTCTCACATATTTTTCAGCCCTGTCTAGTTGGCTTCCTAGTCCGACACGTAGCCGCCGTGGCCGTTATGCAATTGCTTATTAATTCTTTTATAATGCCTGCGTTGTGGGTTAGTGTTTTGTTTTTCGGCCGACGTTTAATTGGCCATCCATCCATCCATCCAGCCATTCATCCGACGTGTTGGCAGAAGTGCTGCTGCTGCTTTGGAAAATGCTTCAGATGTGCGAGCACTTGAATGCGAATGGCTCCAGGCCATTTATGCAATGCCAGGGAAAAGGCTCTTGGCAACAAACCCAAAAACCAGTGATCGATGGCAGATACATTTCTCCACTGGAGTTGCAATTAATTCGAAATTACCTGTAGAATCGCAACCACCGCAGACATTATTGTTAGCCGAAAAGAAAAGAAATATAAATGAACCATTTGTATTTCGCACGAACGGAAGACTGGCAAAGCGCAAAAAAAATACAAACTGGCAGAAAAAGAAATGCTTCGTTTTATATTTTTTTATTTTTACATCTTGCCTTTCCATCATCGGACTACCGCAACAGTGGCGCCCTCTGTGCGGCCATCTCTTTCGCACCTGGTTGCATATTTTTTCTCTCTTTCTTCGATCGCCGCCGCTTTATTAGAACTTTCACTTTAGGTCCGCTTCAATTGGGGCCTCCAACCTTCTTTTTTTGTATTTCGGCTGGAATTGAATAATAGGCGTCGAAGGAGAAGAAGAAGAAGAAGTGACCCAGAAAGTGAAGATGCTGAGATGTGCAATCAGAGCCGATGATGAGTAATAGTTTTCCGACTCAAAGTGGACTGTCTTGGGCCCGTCGATAGAAAGTTACCAAACTCAGTTCGCAACGCTCCTAACCACAAGTCATCTCATTTGGAGTGGATAATTGCAAGCGATCAAGAAACTGCGAATGGCAAATAAATCATAAAAAAAAAGAAACACACATATTTTTTTTTTTTTTGGTTATCGTGTGGGGAAGGTTAAGTTTTTATGTAAGATGCCGCAGTTTAATTTGATTTTTATTTTCTTGACTTGGCTTGGCGGACAAGACATCTTGAGGTTCGCCAACATCAACAATAGTTTTAATAAATGATTTGTTGTTTGAATATCTTTCGGGTTTTTTGTTCGCAGCCCCTTTGAAGCTTTGTTTCAATATCTGCACCGATCTATCGGCAGCACGTAATGCCGTGCGTATATATATTATATATACATCCCACATGTCGGTGTGTATGTTGGCTCTTACCGCTATTTACATTAACATTAGAGCTTTAGGTTTACGGCTCTGTGTTTTTTTTTTCTTTTCTTTTTGTTTCTTTATGCTGCTTCTGACGGCGCAAAGTGAAAGTTTTTCGAACTGACTGTAACTCGAGTGCTGAGCTTAGCCAACTCAGCCGAGCCAACAAGTCGTGGAATCGTGCGAACGCACCGAAATCAGGTGGCTATATCTTGTTCGCAGCGATGGGCCATATTCGATAAGAATATTAATGCGACGAGGGGCTGAAATCAAAAGTGATTTCCTCGGCGACGACACATTTGCTTCTCGCTTTCAAAATAATCAACGACACGCCGACTCATTAGCAAGGCGTTAAATCATAGCGGCAATTACTTAGAAAATGCAAGCATGCAAATGGTAAATGGTAAATGTTTGCACTTAGCAGCGGCCAGAAATCGCTCAGCCGCCGTGTTGCACTTTCGAAAAACAAACAACGAAACGAAAAGCTAAGAGCTGGTAGAAAATATGCAGCACTCCAAGTGCATGACAAACAGCGCAATTGGGAGAGGCGGAGAGGAAAATCTTTTGTAAAAGTTCATAAACCTTCTCGCGAAACAAAGACGAATTTCGAAGTTCGGCTTCTGCAAATGCAGGCAGCTGGAAAAGCAGCCAAGCCAAAGACTAAAACTGCATACATGAAAAGCTAAACAGAGTTTTCCCAAAAGCAAAGCCAGTGAAATGCACAAAGCGGGCGCATAAAGAAAAAAAATATTTTTCCTAAATTACTTCTGACGATGTTTGAGGATAATGATAATTGCCATGATGATCGTAATGCCAACAATGATGATCATCATGATGATGATGATGTTGCTGATCATGATTATATGTAGTGCGGAATTTCCACAGTTGGTTAGCGTACGTTCAACTGCAAAATGGAAAAGCAGAAAGCACAAAGAGAAAAGCCCGCTGGCGAAAGATAGAAAATTCCCCGCAACAAGTTGCCATCGCTCGATTCCACGACTCCGTCAGTTTTCGGTTTATATCATCCGAGGCTTTCCCGCTTTTCCAGCCTATTAGCAACTCTAACTCTTTCTGCTTGCTTTCTGCAGCTTTGTTTGGCTTCAGCTTCGGCATCGGCTTTGGCTTTGACTTTCTTCTTCTAGGTTTTCGCTTGAAAAATCATAACAAACAAGAGTGTTTCTTTTACCGTTCCGTGCCCGGTTGTAACTGCTATCTCCCAGACTCATTTGTGCATCATTTGGGAGAAAGTAAAAGCCAAGAATTAAATGCCACTAGCCGTTGGCTAAAGCTGAATACGTAGTCCAAGTCGTAGTCGTAGTCGAAGTCGAAGTCGATGACTTACACGGTAAGTGCAGCCACAACTGCCTGCCTGCCACACGGGGCGTATGCGCATTATAGCCGCTGGTCGCTGGTTGTTGGTTGCTGGTTGCT